TCCTGCTGAGATTCATAGCGTCTGCATTTAGGTGACAGCCCAAACTTTGCTGTTCTCTGACACATCGAGGAATCTAGTAGTGCCCCAAAATGACCTATTTGTGGTCACTGTCCTACTGCAAGGCCTGCATACCAGAGAGGGCTGTGGGGTAAAGAAATTGTTGTGGTCATTTTCAGTTTCACTGCAGGGAATTTAGCTACTTCTTACCCTCTTCCGGGAGAACCAGGATAACTTTGTTTCTGTCTAATACTGTCACCTTTCAGTAGGCCATGAAGAATGAGTGTGGTCATTGCATTTCTCAATGGACAGTTTCCCATATAACAAAAACATCCCCCCCTTTCCATCAGTAACAGCAGGATATATATCCTTCTTGGCAATCTCAGGGAAGATGCTAAAAGTTGATGGCTCCACTCCTCAGTTCCCCCAATTACTCTTTATATCAGGCTTTAGGCACCCAGGGGTGTTCCTATTCTCTAGATAGACAGAGATGTCAATGGCCAGTGTCTTTCACCTAGCATCTTTTAATGAGCAGAAGAATTTACCTGTATGAAGGATGTTTTTTAAAATTATTACATGGAGATCATTAAAAAAAAAGATTGCTTCCCCATGCCCTTCTTGAGTAGTTCTCCCCAGCCCTCATGCTCTCTCATTGTCCTCTGAAAGGCTTTACACTGAAAGATTTCTAGTCTTTCCAAAGTGCAATGTGATGTGTCATTATAGGTGTATGTAATGGAGTATGCTTTAAAGAGACAGCATTGCAGAATCAGAGCAGACACATGGCTGACTTTGCAATGCATTAGATCTGACACAATGTGGAACAAAGCACTAGCATCAGATTCATGCCTGTCTCCTCAGAATATGGTAGTATTTTCTCTTCTTGCCAAATGATCATTTTGCTGTAATCATCACGTGATAATCCCAGAACCTAATGGAGCTATAGTAGCTTCTTGTGCACCCATAATGAATGTGAAAATCAGTCTTTCATGGGTGCGACATTGAATTTCCTCTATGAATGTGCCTCAGCTTTGCTCTTCTTGATAGGTATTCAAGAGTCTTTTTCTTTAATTTATTTTTCCTTAGAGGCAAAGTGGTTTCTCAATGGACAAGGTGGTTATAAAATCCTGACAGGAAACACAGCAATGTTTTTGGGAGGAGTGACTGCTAACCATAAGGAAGAGCTCAGTTCCAGCTCATGTGTAGAGTTTGCAGTGTCAGAGTTGCATTGGTCTCCAAGACCCATTGCCACTAGATGGCAATGCGGCTCTCTCAGACATGGGACCCCTTTCTCCTGTAAAATTCTCTTTTTTTTCTGTATTTATCTCCACCAAACTGATGATTCCACCCACCACCCTGTCAGGAGAACAGAACAAAATCATTTCATAGAACATTACAGCTGTGGTGCTTTTTCTTTTTCTTTTTTTTTCTACTCTTTTTTTTTTTTTTTTTTTTGCATTTCTTTGTCCCGCAGCAGGGTGCAGAGGTTTAGAAACCTTTCTTAATCGCTCTGCCTCTAAAAACAGAGAAAACACTGCCTCTTGGGAGCAATTAGCTGTGAGAAAAGCTTTTCTCAAACAATTGCCAGGAAATATTGTCTTGACCGATATTCCTGATGTAACGCTGTCATTCTCGGCACTGTTATTCTAAGACATTTGACTGCAAAAAAGCAGCAGGGTACAGAGCTGTAATGTGCAATCTGCAGTTTACCTCCTACCTTACCTTTTTATATCCATTTGCTTTCAGGTCCCCCGTTCTTCCCCCCCCCCAATAGCTAGGGGGAGCTATCAAGAATTATCAGCAACTGTATTAGTGAATCAGGCAAGGATTAAGCCTATGCTTGAATTTAAGGTTGTGCCTCCACTCTTCAGATCCCTAATGAAAACTTTATGGCCAGGAGGTCCAAATAGAGAGTCATCGTGGTCCTTTATTGCTGTAAAGCTAGCAATCCCAGAATACATGAGTCTGGAGCTGGTGCAGCCTGCCCTTGCCTGGGAGTTGGCGCCTGATCCTGCAGGCCCTTCTCCTCCTGGAGAACTATCTAGCTATTGACTTAAAAGGGTGTAAGCGGTTGCAGTGAGGCAGTAAGTTACCACTAATAAGAGCCAGGTTAAGCAATGGCTGGAAACTACTGACACACATGTGCATGTACACATCCACACACACAAAACAATATTTGTTTTAATTGCAAGACACAAATTTTGTCTCTCTCTGCGAGTATTGCTTAAAGTCATGGAGGTATAAGAAATAAGCCACGCTCTCTGGGACAGGGTGTTAACTGAGGCACCTTTTGGAAGACAGACAGCAGTGTAATCCTTTCATTCAACCCTGTCTGCAGCTGCTTTTTATAAACTTGGCATAAATATGTACTCAGTGAGGCCAGGCCTGCGTATCTGGAAAATATTTTCCACAATCTAAAAAAACAGAAGATTGGAAAAAGAGCCCAGAAATTGTGCATAACATGGAATGGCCTTGCTTGTGGTTTTTTTCCATGATTTCCTCAGCTCATTTTTCTGCTGCCAATTTTAGAAGCCCATAAGTCATACTTGTTAAGCTTTCTCAGTTAAAATGTAACTCTCAGAACAAAAGTCGTTATGATATGTTGCAGCCAAATAATTGTTGCAGAGCCTCTGACTTGAGAAAAGCTACCTTGCCTTGGCCAACTTGCCTATCTGTAAGTCCTCCCAGCCCAGGGCAGAGAGTGCCAGCGGGCACATTAGCAACCCAAAGCCCAGTCATGCAGCCTTTGCAGATGAAGTGCCATTGTTGACTTCATTGAGAGCTCTTCCTCAGATCTGCTAACATAGCCAAAGCCTCAGTGTGTGCAGTGGTGCATGCTGTCGTTTTAGGAGTGCAGCCCCATCTCTCAAAAATGCCTCAAGCAGAAAGAGAAGCAGCGGAGGGGATGCCAGGAGGCTGAATAGGACCCAATGGGGCCTTAGCAGCCAAGCTCTTAGAAGCAGCTGTAAGTAGGCACTGTTGCCTGCAGGGTGAAGTAGCATGGGAGTGAGAGGAAGATGAGTTACCAAGAGGAAAAGTTGAATTTGCCGGAGGGTTTGAATAAAGGGCATCTTTCCTGAGACGGTTTCAAACACTGAATCACCATGGAAGCATTTGAAAGCCAGAAGCAATATTTTGGTCAGTTTGCCCCTCTTTTATAGGGGGAGTCTGCCTACCCTGCTCCCCGAATGGACTTGTCTCACAGCTCCTACAGCCCAATCTCTTTCCTCCCTCAGAACAACTCCCCAGGAGGTGTCAGAGATGGAGTTACTCTAAATTTACCCTCGGGTAACTGAGAGCAGAACTTGGCTCCCTGTCTGTCATCACTGCCAAGAGTCCGGAGGCAGCCAGTATTGTCCTGAGGTTAGTGCGCGGCTCCGGGGCGGACTGTCCCAGTCAGCGTTCCTGAACTCTGGCACCTGCTTTCTCAGGCGTTTTTTTTTTTTTCTTGGAAAGGAAATGCTGGTCTCTAGCCACCAGGGGCCACTGCGTTGTGCAGGGAAAAAGCTGCCAACTGTCCACTTTCCAGAACCATCTCGGCTTCAGCTGATCCCTTTGCTGCAGGGGGCCGAGCAAAAGCTGGGAGGGGAGCAGGGAGTCGCCGGATGCCTCCTGGCCAGCACAACTTTGCACCCCCAGCGCCACCCTGCAGTCTCAGTTGTGCCCCGTGGCACTGTTTTTCCCCCATAAATGTTGGCAGCTACGGACCTGAATCTGCTCTGGCTTTTCCTGGCAACCGTCAGGGGCAACCCAGGCAGTGCAGCCACTCCAGTATAAAACAGATTTGAGAGCTCCCCGAGTGCCCCTTGTTCTGTCCAAGAGAAGCATCATTTTGAAACCTGTGTGGTCTTGCTGGACAGGGAGGGAACAAACCAAATGGAAATCAGCTGGATTATCAGAATATTTTCTGACAGAAATGGCAGTTTCAAAAGCTAGCTCCCCTGACTGCCATTTCTTAGTGCCATGACGTCCCAGGTGGCAATGGTGACTAAGGTAACCTTGGCTGGGCAGGGCCGCTCACCCACCATGCTAAGGCTAGCAGGCAGCTGGAGACGCTTGCGGAGACAGGGTTTTCTCAGACACATTCGCTCTCCTTGTGTACATATATGGAAAGGCCAGGTGTTTGGCACCCAGATAGTCTGTCCTGACTCAACGAGGTAGCAAAATTACCTGGCAAAAAAAAAAAAAAGGATAAAAGAAGAAAAGGTTTTGTTCTTGTCCCACGTGAATGCGGCTCTGACACACCACTCAAGGCATGCTTTGCTGGTGTAACAATCTTGTAATTAATAATGATGTCTGTTCATTCAAGCCATCTGTTCTTCACGTTAATGGAGGGAGGTGCGGTGGGGGGGGGGCTTAGTTGAATTCTGGTGGATTGTCACCTGTAAGTTAATGTGACAGATTTCTTTTTTAATCAAATCTCTCTGTATGAACTGCAATCCAAGGCTCAGTTGGGCTCCTAAACTCTGGCTTTGTTGCAGAGAGAGATTCTTTCATATTGATTGTTGCTTTGTATGCAGTTCAGGCTCTGACTTGTAGAAAATCTGGGCCAGAAGAGATATCATTAGGTATTTATGGGGGTTTGGTTGGCTCAGCAGTCAGTTTTTCCATTGTCATGCCGTGACAGTAGTGCATTACATACACCCTCAGGAGACATCCTTCTGCTTCCACAATAATAAAGGACTTTTTTTTTCTTTTTCTGACTCATCTTCAATTTAAAAAACCCAGTAAATATAATTAGTAACAGGCAGACATACTGTACACAGCCCTCACAGCCTACTGGGATTGTTTTCCTTAAGCGACATGCTGGTTTCTCACTTAAATGTCCTGAAGGTTTCCTCTGATTGAATTCATGGATTCTGTTTAGACGTTTTAACACAGCCTGGTGTTTGGGACCGGTACTATAGGCAGAGGAGCCATTTTTATTTTGAACTGAGATAGTGGCTAGGTTAAAAAGTCAGGGATTGTCTTCCGCATGTCTTCTTATGCAGACTCGCACGCCTGAGCGCTCCTTCCCTCTGGCATCAGGAAGGCAGCTCCCAGCTCAGTTCTCCTCAGCTGCCTGCAGTCCCGCAGAGCTCTGCAGCCCCTCTCCTCTGTTTTACCTATACGCTGCTTTTTTTGTACTACCCCAGTTTGCAAGGCTGCTGATGTAGCTCTTGACGCGAGACAGAGCCTCAGAGCTACTTTACCTTACTGCAGTTCATAATGGACCCAAGGGGTCATATGAGTGATAGATGAAATGCATGCTGGCCGCAGCCCCACTAGGGTGGCCATCATAGCGGACAGTCCGGTTGTCGCCTGTCCTCTATTGATACGAAACCCTGGCGCCCTTTTTCTCTGGAAGAGAAAAATAGAGGACATAAAGGCGTTGGGTTTCGTATCAATAGAGGTCAGAGTAGCAGAAAACCGGACTGTCCTCTATGATGGCCACCCTAAACTCCACCCTGACAATCCCGTGCTGCTACTGAGGTGGATTGAAGCATGGGCGATGCAGAGCTGACTCTGCTCTTTGTCACCTGGGGATTCCCTGATGCCTCCTGAGTCATTCACCCTCTAGAAGAAGGCTGCGTCATGCCCTCCCCCACAGCTCTGTGCCACGGCAGCAACCCAAGGAGGCTGTAACATGGGCCAGATCTGGCCTTTTGGTTCCAAATTTCAGGGAAGAAAGCCGAGCCCAGTATTTAAATGCATACAAAAGGGACAGCTCCTGCATCTTTATTGATGTGTTTAAATTCATGAGTCAGAGTGGGTAGTACTGGTATGTTTGCAGTAACCTGCTCTTCTCAGAAGGTGCCTTTTATGTTTTGCTCTCCTTAGTAGTGTGTGAAATTCTTGATCCACCCTCACGTGTGGGCCCTGCTTGAATATCCCCAGGTAACCAGGTGTACTTACCGCAAGCTGAGGAGTAGGCTGGGTCTCAACCTCCCTCTTGCAAAAAAGAAAAGTCTCACTGAGTTGGACTCAAGTGGGAGGAGTAGAGAGCAAGCTTTCAACTGAAAGCACCAAGGCGCTGGCAACAAGCCACAGGGCTGTACCAGATGCTATACCAAGGAAAATGTGATGATGTGGGTGTGGTGGTGGTTCAGTATCCGTAACGAGTATCTCAAGGTGCACTTGTGCAGAGTTTACTAATAACACCATTAGGCATGTTAAGCAAGTAAGTAGCAACTCCCAAGACACCACAAATGGAGGGACATTTTTAAAAGCCTGATAGGTGGCATGAAAAGGTGAATGAGCTGTGTGGTGAGGACTGCAGGGGCCAAAAAGACGGGGGACTAAAACCAAGATAGTAGGGACAAATTCTCCTGGAAAGGTGGTAAGGTAGTTTTTGAATGTGCATTGACCTCTGTGTAATCTCATTATGGTGCACAGAGTAGGCCTCAATATATACTCTCACTTTGAGTATAATCTCTAGACCACGGGTGGGCAAAATGGGGGATCCAGCTAGTGGCTGGACTCCATTTCCCAGCAGCCCCTGCCCGTGTTGCTGCAGCCAGTTTCCATGGAGACCCCAGCAGTAGCAGGGCTGTGACAGCATGGGGGGCCCAGCAGCACTGGAAGGGCACATGGCTGGATGGGAGCTGCTGTGAGGCCAGGGCTGGGATCTTGCAGTGGTGACAGTATGGTCTGGAGCGGGAACAGAGCCGCAATTCCCTGCCTCCACCCCCCTGCCTGGGGCATGCAGACAGCAGATCGCAGCTCTGCCTTGGCCACTACTGCCAGATACCGGCCCAGGAGGAGCTCCCTGCCTAGCCACTCACCCTGCCACCATTCCTGGGGCTAGTCTCCATGGAAACCCTGGCCCCACGCTGTCCTAACCCCCTGCTGCTGGGGTCTCCATGGAAACCAGCCTCGGCACTGCAGGCAGGGGATGCTGGGAAATGGAGTCCGCTGCAAGTCAAATCTGGCCCATGGGCCAGACTTTGCTTGCCCCTGCTCTAGATACTGGATGCCGGATCTTGGAGAAAGTTCAGATCATCTCTAATTCACAGACCAGACATCACTATTTCTGAAAATGAGGGATCTGCTTCTTGGAGGTGTGAGGGACAAACATGAGGGGATACTGAGGGAATATAAAGAGATTCAGGCCTTAAATGCACATGGCTGAGTTAGGATGGGACATGAGGGTTTAGAGAAAAATGGTTCAATTTTCCTGAAGCAAGGCTTAATTAGCTTTCAAAATTTTGGAAAATGCTCCACTGAAAAGTTAAGAAGTGTCTCTCTTTCTTGTAACAGGGGTGTAGGTTGTAGCCGTGCTGGTCTAAGGACATAGGCAGACAAGTTTCTTTGGGCGAATCTGATATCTTTTATTAGACCAACTTAAATAGTTGGAAAACAATTATTAAGCAAGCTTTTGGGTTCAGAAACCCTTCATCAGGCTGAAGAAGTTTCAGCAGTTGGTGTGTGCTCTTCCTGGATGGAATGAAACGTAAAGAAGCCAGCGGCTGGGCTGGTATGCATACAAGGCAGGTAGTCAGTGAAAACGTAGATTGAGGAGTCAATGGTGAGACACAGGCGGGGGGGGAAGGAGGGGTGGGGACAGACGGGGGATGAATAGCGGAGAGATACCTGGGGAGTCAAATGTCAGGCAGGTTATAATGTGACATAAATCCAATGTCTGTATTTAGTCCATGATTTTTAGTGTCCAGGAGGCTGATGAAGTGGAGCTCATAGGCTCGTCTCTGGGAAGTGTTGTATACGTTTCCTTTGAGGATCAGGACTGAGATTGGAGAGAGGGCGGTGTTCTTGTGAGAAATGTGCCCCCACAGGTAGTTGGGTATTTCTGTCTTTGATAGATTTCTGGTGTGTGTTCATTGTGGTGCGCAGTTGTTGTTTGGTCTCTCCTATGTATTTTCCATCAGGGCATTTGGTGCATTGGATGAGATATATAACATTTCTGGAGGTGCAGCTGTAAGATCCAGGGATGCTGATGGCTCTGTTGTGGGGTGTAGTAATAGTGGGGGTGGTGGAGATGTGTTGGCAGGCTTTGCATTTCTTGTCATGGCACGGTCTGGATCCTTTTGGTGTGTTCTGGGCTTAAGGAAGTTTGCTTCTGGTGATGAGGTTGGCGAGGTTTGGTGCTTGTTTGAAGGCTAGGATGGGTGGCTCTGGGAAGATCTTTTTAAGAATAGGGTCTCTTTCTAGTATGAGTTGCAATTGTTTGAGGATTTTCCATACAGGTTCAAGGGAGCGGTGATATGTCATAACCAGCGGTGTGCGATTTGTGTGTGTGTGGGGGGGGGGGTTCTGTACTGCAGCGGTTCTTCATGTGGTATCCGGGTGGCTCTTTCAAACGTGCGATCTCTCTCTCTGGAGGAGTGTCCTTGTTGGGTGAAAGCCTTTTTAAGATTGGTGAGGTG